GCGCAAGGAGGAATTTGGACACTTTCCATCAATAGAACAACTCTTCTTCTTTCGCTAGAAGATACTTTCAAAGCAATATCAAGACTCGTTGAACTGACATAATTCAAAAACGAAGAACAGTTTTTTACGGTGACAAAAACTTTAATTTAGTAGTTGTTTTCTGCGGCATTATTTTTCCTGTGGTATAGCTCCAAATTTTCCCAGTCCTCGTTTGTTCAAACATTTAGACATTCATCTAAAACATACCTGAGAATTGGCTTGGGTTCCTGAAGGCAGCCTCCAAACGAAAGCATCGAAGTCCGGTAAATATAGTGAAGCGTGACCAAAATAACATATTTAACGGCACCAAGTTTCCTCCATCGTGAAGTAACAAGAAGAAATATCTTCCTGTTCCCCCATCCTTAGCGAATTACCGTTGTTAAAGTCCTTATTTTTCGATAAAAAGTGAGTACCACAATACTAGTACGTTTGATTTTTTCTTCTTCAAAACTGACTGTCGGCATCGAAATTGTTACTCTTTCAAGAATTGCGTTGCGTTACTACCTTGATTCCGTGACTGTCATTTTGACGGCTGTATGTTGTGTCACGTGCAGTCACGGAACAGATTGTCACGAAGAGTCGCCGGCTGGTAGAGTTCAGTATTTCAAAGTGGCTAAAATTGACCCAGTTTCACCTTTTTCTGTCGAAAATGAGTAACGAACTTAAGTTTTTGTCATCCTGAAAACCGATCCCTCATTTTTTAATTATTTCTGTACGACGACCTTCGCTATTGCCCTGAAAGTATATTTTAGTGGAAGAAGGAGAATTTTTCTGTTCATTGAAAGTGTCCAAATTTCTCCATGCGGCTTTGTTTGCGAACGCGAGGAAAGTTGATTTTAGCGAATTTCAGGTTAAAGATTAGGGCAGTCTGAGACTGACATTGAAAACCGATATTCTAATTTTTCTCACAAATAAAAGGTTTTTGGCAGGAACAATCTACGTTAGGTTTCTTATCTACCTAACAGCTATCTATGAACAAAAAATGAAAGGAATTGATTTTTCAAGTCTTGCAACGAAATTAAGATTTTGGTCGATTTTTCCTGACCGTCGCTCTTAATTCCCTTAGCCCTGAAATTCAGAATGCCTCTAGTGCTGCTTTGTTTAACTCTAAACTTAAGTCTCTTTTTTCTTGGTATAAGCACGCTTTAGCTCTCCTAATGCTTGCGTGTAGTTTTTCGCTTCTTTCGCTTTTTTTTCTCATTTATTCTTGTATTATTTTTTCTTACTTTTCTTTCTCGTTTTTGCACTTACACGTTCAGCCGTTTGTATTTTTATCGTATTTAATGATCATTTTCTATGTTCCAAACAAATTGTGTACTTAGAGTTAAATTTCCGATGTCAGTATTGTAATTATTAATTAGAAGACATAATATTAAAAGGTGGTCCTATACACAAGCTTTATTGGCTTCCTTGGGCTCCCGTGCCTCATCTTTTTTGTAGAATTTAAAATGTATATTTTTTGTTTTTTGGCAAAATGATAATAAAACAATAAAACAAATCCCCTTGCTTGAATCTGTCAGGTAATGGTAAATACGCTCACTTGTATGTTAGTGCGGGTTTGAGAAACGTTGCCAGCTGGGTCAGATTGTCTTTGAAGGTTTCATTTCAGCATATTTCACCCAACTTTTAAGTATTTCTTACGTACGTAACGCATATATTAACTCTGGCACACCTTTTCTACAGAAATCATCATTAACACTATTCGCGAGAACGCCCCTGAGACATTATAACAACCAGATGACATCACAGCAATAACACTTCTATTTGATGCTCCTTGCTTTACATTCTACAAATGAGTCTAAATTATTGTGCGTAATTAAATTTTTTTCTTTATCTAGTTCGGTGTCGACATCGTCCTCTGTATCAACATCATCAAGTGTTTCGACACCAACCACACCAAGTGTGTCAACATCGTCCTCTGTGTCCACTTCATCAAGTGTATCAACTTCAAGCACGGTGTCGACATCATCAAGTCTCTCAACTTCTTCTTCTGTGTCCACATCATCAAGTACATCGACCTCAAGCTCTGTGTCCACATCCTCGTCAGTATCAACATCATCAAGTTTGTCAACACCAACTACCACAAGTGTCTCAACTTCCACGTCTTTGTCGACGTCTTCAAGTGTATCAACTTCAAGTTCTGTGTCAACATCATCCTCCATATCAACTTCATCGAGTGTTTCTACATCATCAAGTGTTTCAACATCAAGTTCTGTCTCCACATCTTCCTCAGTATCAACATCATCGAGTGTCTCGACACCAACCACCACAAGTATCTCAACTTCGTCGTCTGTTTCGACGTCCTCGAGTGTGTCGACTTCAAGTTCTGTCTCCACATCGTCCTCGATATCAACGTCATCAAGTGTTTCAACACCAACCACAACTAGCATTTCGACATCGTCGTCTGTTTCGACATCATCAAGTGTGTCCACTTCGAGCTCGGTGTCCTCATCGTCAAGTATCTCGACTTCTTCGTCTGTGTCCACATCATCAAGTACATCGACCTCAAGCTCTGTGTCCACATCCTCGTCAGTATCAACATCATCAAGTTTGTCAACACCAACTACCACAAGTGTCTCAACTTCCAGGTCTTCGTCGACGTCTTCAAGTGTATCAACTTCAAGTTCTGTGTCAACATCATCCTCCATATCAACTTCATCGAGTGTTTCTACATCATCAAGTGTTTCAACATCAAGTTCTGTCTCCACATCTTCCTCAGTATCAACATCATCGAGTGTCTCGACACCAACCACCACAAGTATCTCAACTTCGTCGTCTGTTTCGACGTCCTCGAGTGTGTCGACTTCAAGTTCTGTCTCCACATCGTCCTCGATATCAACGTCATCAAGTGTTTCAACACCAACCACAACTAGCATTTCGACATCGTCGTCTGTTTCGACATCATCAAGTGTGTCCACTTCGAGCTCGGTGTCCTCTTCGTCAAGTATCTCGACTTCTTCGTCTGTGTCCACATCATCAAGTACATCGACCTCAAGCTCTGTGTCCACATCCTCGTCAGTATCAACATCATCAAGTTTGTCAACACCAACTACCACAAGTGTCTCAACTTCCACGTCTTTGTCGACGTCTTCAAGTGTATCAACTTCAAGTTCTGTGTCAACATCATCCTCCATATCAACTTCATCGAGTGTTTCTACATCATCAAGTGTTTCAACATCAAGTTCTGTCTCCACATCTTCCTCAGTAACAACATCATCGAGTGTCTCGACACCAACCACCACAAGTATCTCAACTTCGTCGTCTGTTTCGACGTCCTCGAGTGTGTCGACTTCAAGTTCTGTCTCCACATCGTCCTCGATATCAACGTCATCAAGTGTTTCAACACCAACCACAACTAGCATTTCGACATCGTCGTCTGTTTCGACATCATCAAGTGTGTCCACTTCGAGCTCGGTGTCCTCATCGTCAAGTATCTCGACTTCTTCGTCTGTGTCCACATCATCAAGTACATCGACCTCAAGCTCTGTGTCCACATCCTCGTCAGTATCAACATCATCAAGTTTGTCAACACCAACTACCACAAGTGTCTCAACTTCCACGTCTTTGTCGACGTCTTCAAGTGTATCAACTTCAAGTTCTGTGTCAACATCATCCTCCATATCAACTTCATCGAGTGTTTCTACATCATCAAGTGTTTCAACATCAAGTTCTGTCTCCACATCTTCCTCAGTATCAACATCATCGAGTGTCTCGACACCAACCACCACAAGTATCTCAACTTCGTCGTCTGTTTCGACGTCCTCGAGTGTGTCGACTTCAAGTTCTGTCTCCACATCGTCCTCGATATCAACGTCATCAAGTGTTTCAACACCAACCACAACTAGCATTTCGACATCGTCGTCTGTTTCGACATCATCAAGTGTGTCCACTTCGAGCTCGGTGTCCTCATCGTCAAGTATCTCGACTTCTTCGTCTGTGTCCACATCATCAAGTACATCGACCTCAAGCTCTGTGTCCACATCCTCGTCAGTATCAACATCATCAAGTTTGTCAACACCAACTACCACAAGTGTCTCAACTTCCACGTCTTTGTCGACGTCTTCAAGTGTATCAACTTCAAGTTCTGTGTCAACATCATCCTCCATATCAACTTCATCGAGTGTTTCTACATCATCAAGTGTTTCAACATCAAGTTCTGTCTCCACATCTTCCTCAGTATCAACATCATCGAGTGTCTCGACACCAACCACCACAAGTATCTCAACTTCGTCGTCTGTTTCGACGTCGTCGAGTGTGTCGACTTCAAGTTCTGTCTCCACATCGTCCTCGATATCAACGTCATCAAGTGTTTCAACACCAACCACAACTAGCATTTCGACATCGTCGTCTGTTTCGACATCATCAAGTGTGTCCACTTCGAGCTCGGTGTCCTCATCGTCAAGCGTCTCGACTTCTTCTTCTGTGTCCACATCATCAAGTACATCGACCTCAAGCTCTGTGTCCACATCCTCGTCAGTATCAACATCATCAAGTTTGTCAACACCAACTACCACAAGTGTCTCAACTTCCAGGTCTTCGTCGACGTCTTCAAGTGTGTCAACTTCAAGTTCTGTGTCAACATCATCCTCCATATCAACTTCATCGAGTGTTTCTACATCATCAAGTGTTTCAACATCAAGTTCTGTCTCCACATCTTCCTCAGTATCAACATCATCGAGTGTCTCGACACCAACCACCACAAGTATCTCAACTTCGTCGTCTGTTTCGACGTCCTCGAGTGTGTCGACTTCAAGTTCTGTCTCCACATCGTCCTCGATATCAACGTCATCAAGTGTTTCAACACCAACCACAACTAGCATTTCGACATCGTCGTCTGTTTCGACATCATCATCAAGTGTGTCCACTTCGAGCTCGGTGTCCTCATCGTCAAGTATCTCGACTTCTTCTTCTGTGTCCACATCATCAAGTACATCGACCTCAAGCTCTGTGTCCACATCCTCGTCAGTATCAACATCATCAAGTTTGTCAACACCAACTACCACAAGTGTCTCAACTTCCACGTCTTTGTCGACGTCTTCAAGTGTATCAACTTCAAGTTCTGTGTCAACATCATCCTCCATATCAACTTCATCGAGTGTTTCTACATCATCAAGTGTTTCAACATCAAGTTCTGTCTCCACATCTTCCTCAGTATCAACATCATCGAGTGTCTCGACACCAACCACCACAAGTATCTCAACTTCGTCGTCTGTTTCGACGTCGTCGAGTGTGTCGACTTCAAGTTCTGTCTCCACATCGTCCTCGATATCAACGTCATCAAGTGTTTCAACACCAACCACAACTAGCATTTCGACATCGTCGTCTGTTTCGACATCATCAAGTGTGTCCACTTCGAGCTCGGTGTCCTCATCGTCAAGTGTCTCGACTTCTTCGTCTGTGTCCACATCATCAAGTACATCGACCTCAAGCTCTGTGTCCACATCCTCGTCAGTATCAACATCATCAAGTTTGTCAACACCAACTACCACAAGTGTCTCAACTTCCACGTCTTTGTCGACGTCTTCAAGTGTATCAACTTCAAGTTCTGTGTCAACATCATCCTCCATATCAACTTCATCGAGTGTTTCTACATCATCAAGTGTTTCAACATCAAGTTCTGTCTCCACATCTTCCTCAGTATCAACATCATCGAGTGTCTCGACACCAACCACCACAAGTATCTCAACTTCGTCGTCTGTTTCGACGTCCTCGAGTGTGTCGACTTCAAGTTCTGTCTCCACATCGTCCTCGATATCAACGTCATCAAGTGTTTCAACACCAACCACAACTAGCATTTCGACATCGTCGTCTGTTTCGACATCATCAAGTGTGTCCACTTCGAGCTCGGTGTCCTCATCGTCAAGTATCTCGACTTCTTCGTCTGTGTCCACATCATCAAGTACATCGACCTCAAGCTCTGTGTCCACATCCTCGTCAGTATCAACATCATCAAGTTTGTCAACACCAACTACCACAAGTGTCTCAACTTCCACGTCTTCGTCGACGTCTTCAAGTGTATCAACTTCAAGTTCTGTGTCAACATCATCCTCCATATCAACTTCATCGAGTGTTTCTACATCATCAAGTGTTTCAACATCAAGTTCTGTCTCCACATCTTCCTCAGTATCAACATCATCGAGTGTCTCGACACCAACCACCACAAGTATCTCAACTTCGTCGTCTGTTTCGACGTCCTCGAGTGTGTCGACTTCAAGTTCTGTCTCCACATCGTCCTCGATATCAACGTCATCAAGTGTTTCAACACCAACCACAACTAGCATTTCGACATCGTCGTCTGTTTCGACATCATCAAGTGTGTCCACTTCGAGCTCGGTGTCGACATCGTCAAGTATCTCGACTTCTTCGTCTGTGTCCACATCATCAAGTACATCGACCTCAAGCTCTGTGTCCACATCCTCGTCAGTATCAACATCATCAAGTTTGTCAACACCAACTACCACAAGTGTCTCAACTTCCACGTCTTTGTCGACGTCTTCAAGTGTATCAACTTCAAGTTCTGTGTCAACATCATCCTCCATATCAACTTCATCGAGTGTTTCTACATCATCAAGTGTTTCAACATCAAGTTCTGTCTCCACATCTTCCTCAGTATCAACATCATCGAGTGTCTCGACACCAACCACCACAAGTATCTCAACTTCGTCGTCTGTTTCGACGTCCTCGAGTGTGTCGACTTCAAGTTCTGTCTCCACATCGTCCTCGATATCAACGTCATCAAGTGTTTCAACACCAACCACAACTAGCATTTCGACATCGTCGTCTGTTTCGACATCATCAAGTGTGTCCACTTCGAGCTCGGTGTCCTCATCGTCAAGTATCTCGACTTCTTCGTCTGTGTCCACATCATCAAGTACATCGACCTCAAGCTCTGTGTCCACATCCTCGTCAGTATCAACATCATCAAGTTTGTCAACACCAACTACCACAAGTGTCTCAACTTCCACGTCTTTGTCGACGTCTTCAAGTGTATCAACTTCAAGTTCTGTGTCAACATCATCCTCCATATCAACTTCATCGAGTGTTTCTACATCATCAAGTGTTTCAACATCAAGTTCTGTCTCCACATCTTCCTCAGTATCAACATCATCGAGTGTCTCGACACCAACCACCACAAGTATCTCAACTTCGTCGTCTGTTTCGACGTCCTCGAGTGTGTCGACTTCAAGTTCTGTCTCCACATCGTCCTCGATATCAACGTCATCAAGTGTTTCAACACCAACCACAACTAGCATTTCGACATCGTCGTCTGTTTCGACATCATCAAGTGTGTCCACTTCGAGTTTGGTGTCCTCATCGTCAAGTGTCTCAACTTCTTCTTCTGTGTCCACATCATCAAGTACATCGATCTTAAGCTCTGTGTCCACATCCTCGTCAGTATCCACATCATCAAGTGTTTCAACACCAACTACCACAAGTGTCTCAACTTCCAGGTCTTCGTCGACGTCTTCAAGTGTGTCAACTTCAAGTTCTGTGTCAACATCATCCTCCATATCAACTTCATCGAGTGTTTCTACATCATCAAGTGTTTCAACATCAAGTTCTGTCTCCACATCTTCCTCAGTATCAACATCATCGAGTGTCTCGACACCAACCACCACAAGTATCTCAACTTCATCGTTTTTTTCGACGTCGTCGAGTGTGTCAACTTCAAGTTCTGTCTCCACATCGTCCTCGATATCAACGTCATCAAGTGTTTCAACACCAACCACAACTAGCATTTCGACAACGTCGTCTGTTTCGACATCATCAAGTGTGTCCACTTCGAGCTTGGTGTCCTTATCGTCAAGTGTCTCAACTTCTTCTTCTGTGTCCACATCATCAAGTACATCGACCTCAAGCTCTTTGTCCACATCCTCGTCAGTATCAACATCATCAAGTGTGTCAACACCAACTACCACAAGTGTCTCAACTTCCACTTCTTCGTCGACGTCTTCAAGTGTGTCAACTTCAAGTTCTGTCTCCACATCGTCCTCGATATCAACGTCATCAAGTGTTTCAACACCAACCACAACTAGCATTTCGACAACGTCGTCTGTTTCGACATCATCAAGTGTGTCCACTTCGAGCTTGGTGTCCTCATCGTCAAGTGTCTCAACTTCTTCTTCTGTGTCCACATCATCAAGTACATCGACCTCAAGCTCTGTGTCCACATCCTCGTCAGTATCAACATCATCAAGTGTGTCAACACCAACTACCACAAGTGTCTCAACTTCCACTTCTTCGTCGACGTCTTCAAGTGTGTCAACTTCAAGTTCTGTGTCAACATCATCCTCCATATCAACTTCATCGAGTGTTTCTACATCATCAAGTGTTTCAACATCAAGTTCTGTCTCCACATCTTCCTCAGTATCAAGATCATCGAGTGTCTCGACACCAACCACCACAAGTATCTCAACTTCGTCGTCTGTTTCGACGTCGTCGAGTGTGTCGACTTCAAGTTCTGTCTCCACATCGTCCTCGATATCAACGTCATCAAGTGTTTCAACACCAACCACAACTAGCATTTCGACATCGTCGTCTGTTTCGACATCGTCAAGTGTGTCCACTTCGAGCTCGGTGTCCTCATCGTCAAGCGTCTCAACTTCTTCTTCTGTGTCCACATCATCAAGTACATTGACCTCAAGCTCTGTGTCCACATCCTCGTCAGTATCAACATCATCCAGTGTGTCAACACCAACAACAACGAGTGTTTCAACGTCATCTTCTGTGTCAACATCATCAAGTGTATCCACTTTAAGCACGGTGTCCACGTCATCATCCATATCGACGTCCTCGAGTGTTTCGACACCAACCACAACAAGTGTTTCAACATCGTCGTCTATGTCAACATCATCAAGTGTGTCCACTTTAAGCTCTTTGTCTACGTCATCAAGTGTGTCCACGTCTTCCTCGGCATCGACGTCATCGAGTGTTTCGACACCAACCACAACGAGTTCATCAACATCGTCGTCTGTGTCGACTTCATCAAGTGTGTCCACATCAAGCTCGGCGTCCACATCGTTATCTGTGTCGGTAACGAGTATTTCGACAAGGTAAGAATTATAACCTCCTCTAAGTTTCTGCTTCGTAAAGGGAGTCTAAAGACAAAAGGAGGCATTAAGACCACGACAACACATAAACTTCAAACTGAGACAGAAATCTCAAACGCATACCCTACGTACAAGTATAGCTCAGAAGTGATTATAACCTTTGCATTCCCTATTACCAGGTGGGGAACTATGTGTTAATATGGTAATATGTATATGTAGTAAGGTAACAATAGTACTGTTAATAATCAATTATGATAAGTTAAAAATAATGATGTGGTAATGTAACAATTTTTCTTTTTAATCTCACTATCAATCTATCGATAACCATAATCCTTTAATCATAAATATTTTATATCTAAGTGTTCAATTGTCAAAACGATATCTATATTTGTAAAAAAAAAAAAAAAAACTCCTAATCGTCTTGCTTTTCATTGAAACCAGTCATAAGTTTAAAATACAGTGGTAATAAGGTTTTTAAACCTCCTGATACCAGCACAATCAATGTCAGACGTAAAGGTAAAGGTCCTTAATTTACGCCGGTAACCTGTTCCACTGCTTAAGATACCGACAGTGCGCTCATTTTACCCTGATCCCTAGCCCACTCTCTCGACTTTATTTATTTTTTCATTGATTGATTGATCAGATTACCACTAAAAGTGTCAGGGCAGCCCGGATAGAAAGAGGTGGGGCTTATTACATTCAGGCTACCCATTTACAAACAAAATTCAGAGTTATTTAAGTATACCTAAATGACAAAAGTAAACTAAGTATAAGTAATAAGGTTAGGAGGTATAATTATCAATCAACGAGATCAAATTAATTTAGGGTGTCTAATTATTGATTCAAATTAATAGTTCAAGAAAAGAAACTTCTCTCTTCATCAGTGCTTCGTTTTGCGAGTATTTAAAGCTACACGGAAAAGACAGGTAGTCAAAAAGTTGCGCCTTGAATTACAACTGTACCAAAACAACCACAGTAAGATCCCCTACACCCAGTATCAACTACGCCAGAATCAATGACATCGAGAAATGTAGATTATATGTGAGTTTGAAAATATCGGACAATAGCCTTACTCGATATTTAATTTAGGATCACCTGTCTTTTAGCTAGTGCAGTTCCAGTTCACTGTCGGTATTGTCCTCTGTGTCGACATTATCAAGTGTGTCCACTTTGATTTCTGTATCAACAATGCAACTTCCTTTTTAATTTAATACTTGGTGTGGCTCTGCTTCAAGTCCTGCAAGTCTCGTGTTGACAGCAATGCGTGCTGGTTTGCCGTGCTACACAGCAGTTGAACGTCTTGGTTTTAAATGTGGTGTCCTGTTGAGGTAAAATCAAATTCGATCAACTGAGTTTGACACGGCTCATAAGCACGACGAATGGAATGAGCCTAACGACAAACTTTAAAAACAATTAAGGTTCACCTTTTACTTCTGTGAAAACCATGGCGAGAGACGCTAGTCTACATTCTTGACATTTCACATCAACAGACACATCGTCATCTGTGTCGACAAGGAGTATTTTTACTAGGTAGGAATTATAATGTTCTCTAAGCTCCTGCTTCGTTTATTGCTTTGAAAGACAAAAGGAGGCATTAGGACCACAACAACACATAAACTTCAGACAGTGACAGAAATCTCAAACGCAACGATCGTGTCCACTAGGTAATTAAGAAGATATTTTAAAATGTCAAGTGTGTCGACCTCGATGCCGGTGTCAACACCACCAACAACATCATCAATTGCACCTCCAATTAGGTAGTGGCCCTCATACTTTTTGGTTCTAATATCCACTAGTTTCTCAACACACCACTTCAGACCGGATTTTTATTAAGTGACTTTCTTGAAATATCTTTAAAACTAGAGATTTATGTCATTGTCGGAAATCCGTTTAAAATTACTATTTTTGTTCCAGAAATACCTTATTTGAATAACTGTTTGATGATAAATCACAATTGAAGCTATGAAATTACTGCATTAAACCTGTCCATTATTACGACTTCCCGACCACTTTTTCAATTTTTATGATACTTACAGTTAATAATTTTCTTTGCTAACTCGAAACACTGTTTTTTCTCAGTATCTCGCTATCCGAAACCTTGCCACCTCAGACGCTAACAGAATTGTCAACAGTGTTCACATCACGGGCAACATCCTTAGAGACTGTTATATCAATTTCCTTGACACGTACCAGGTAAGATAATGCGTAGATACTTTACCTTGCAACGGTGTATTTTATTGTAATTGTTAACTCTCGCAAAGTGAGGGCCGTAATGTCCGAGGAGAGAGTTTGTAACTTTGTTGTGCGCGCGGGGCGCTGATCGCGTGCGGATCATAGCGGCCTGCATACTCGGATGGGCCATTTACATTTGTATATGCATGTATCCGATCATCATTTCAAGGTTCTTCTGCAGGTTGCTTTAAAGGAGCCTGAGCAAAGTTGGGGTTTGTTACAATAAAGTCATGATAAAATTACAGTCAAGCCAGGTCAAACGTATCCTCCAAGATTCCATTAATGAAGTTGTTATTCGAAAGTTGAATCCTTGGATAGTTGTAGAATCCAGAATCATTTCTTCGTTGCTGCATGCGTAACGCGTAACGAGCAGGCAAGATAGTCATAAAATTGCTACGTGCTCAGTTTTCCTGAATTTGATGTAAATGTCATTGACGCTATTTTGTCCATTTGTCCAGTCAAAGATATCTCAATCTGATAGAATACAAAGAAGCTGTCGTTAAAAATTCATTGTTCGTTATGCATGCAGGAAAGCAGACTTAAATAGATATTCAAACCAGAGATTCGGATTCGGATTCGGCACAGAGGCTTAGGGGAAATAAAGCAAAAGAAATCTTTTCGAGGCTCACCAATGAATAATTCTCATGTTCTGTTATATTCCCATACGCCACGGTGCCAAATCTGAATTTTGATATGTCGAAATTGGTTTATTTGACACTAGTTGCGGCACTGACAAACGGATTCAACTTTCGAATTCAAAATTCATTAATGTAACATTGGGGGTACGTTTGGCCTACAATCTGGGCAATAGTCTTTGGCACAGTAATGCACTATTCATAGTTTCCTTTAATTTCTGTGTGCCCTTGTCAAACAGTGCATCACTTTCGAGAATTGCTTGCAGTTTTCCATGCCCACCTTATACAATGTTAAATCTCTGGAAGCCTTGTGAATACAAACGTCCAACGTTGTTTGAGGGGTGAAGTGAGGGGTTGGGCATGTGTGAATTAAAAAAAGCCCCACAAATACAAATTTGTCCCAAGAATTTTTTCTTCAGGATCGTCGTTTGACTGTAAATCTCAAACCGTCCGCCCGTATCGTTAGTTGTGGGATACTGGTTTCTCTATAGGACCTCAAGGAAACTCACTACATTGTTGTAAAGGAAAAATGATGTGAAACAGTGTACTATTTATAAGGACGAAAAAAGGAAAAGATGCTTTTGGTTTTAGCTCAGTTGTCGAGCTCCAGGCGGCAGTGCGGGGAGGTCGTGGATAGAGTTTACATACCCGGCCAGGGCCACTGAAAAATTCTGAAGGCCTTGAAATACCTGATGAAAGAAGCTGATGCTTTTTTCTTTGCAAAAGCTAGACCTCAGCTTAGCTTTGATGACCCTGTAAAATGGCGGTTCTAAAAATATTGTTTTCGATTAGCCCTATAGCCCTAGGTTATTTGACATTTTAATTATGTGGCGTTTATTTTCCGATTTCTTAACGTAACTTTAAATCTGGAGACCTGTGGTTTACCCTCCACTCTAACCGCTAGCCGGCGTTGATTCACAGAAAATCTAACTACAAATTCTCAACAGCATGAGAATTTATGACATTAATGTTTCTGCCTTGCATTGCATGGTTGTTGTATAACATATGTGTTATACGTTAAGCGAGTGGAAAACGGACCTGTAGTACCTTTATTTATGTGCGAAGAACTTTCGAAAATCATTTTCTGCGCAACTCATATTTGAAATGGTTTTTGACTATTTTATTTTTTTTTGTTTGAGGCTCCAACAAAACATAGAAACTTAAAGTAAGAATTCCTTCCTTTTGCCCTACTGCAGGACAAATGTAAGGAAATTTTCACTTCGTTTTCAAGGGCACAAAATATTTAAGCGCGACGGTCAGGAAATATCGACCATCGAGTGGCAAGAGTTGAAAAATCGATTTGCTTCATTTTTTGTCCATAAATAGTTTTTAGGTAGTTAAGTAATCTGATGTAAGTTGTTCTCGCAAAAACCCTTTTATTTTCGAGAAAAGTAAGAATATTAGTTTTCGTGGTCGGAGTCTTAAAATGGCCGTATTTTAAACCCGAAATTTGCTAACATCAACTCTCCTCGCGTTCGCAAATAAAAGCGCAAGGAGGAATTTGGACACTTTCCATCAATAGAACAACTCTTCTTATTTCACTAGAAGATACTTTCAAAGCAATATCAAGACTCGTTGAACTGACATAATTCAAAAACGAAGAACAGTTTTTTACGGTGACAAAAACTTTAATTTAGTCGTTGTTTTCTGCGGAATTATTTTTCCTGTGGTATAGCTCCAAATTTTCCCAGTCCTCGTTTATTCAAACATTTAGACATTCATCTAAAACATACCTGAGAATTGGCTTGGGTTCCTGAAGGCAGCCTCCAAACAAAAGCATCGAAGTCCGGTAAATATAGTGAAGCGTGACCAAAATAACATCTTTAACGGCGCCAAGTTTCCTCGACGTGAAGTAAGAAGAAGAAATATCTTCCTGTTCCCCCATCCTTAGCGAATTACCATTGTTAAAGTCCTTATTTTTCGATAAAAGTGAGTACCAGAATACTAGTACGTTTGATTTTTCTTCTTCAAAACTGACTGTCGGCATCGAAAATGTTACTCTTTCAAGAATTGCGTTGCGTTACTACCTTGATTCCGTGACTGTCATTTTGACGGCTGTATGTTGTGTCACGTGCAGTCACGGAACAGATTGTCACGAAGAGTCGCCGGCTGGTAGAGTTCAGTATTTCAAAGTGGCTAAAATTGACCCAGTTTCACCTTTTTCCCCACTCTTTGGTTGAAAAAAGCAACTTTGCATTGGGAAAACCCACAAGAAGTACGAAAAACGAGCCTTTAGGCTGTAAATATCTACTTTTGTGCGTTTCGAAATTGGAAGTGTTTACACAATTACCGCCGGCCTACAATGAAAATTCCTGAAGTTCGATGGTGTCTTACAGAGATTTCCTTTAATAACCCAAGCCAATTCCCAGGTATGTTTTAAATCAATGTCTAAATGTGTGATTTAAATAGCATGAAGAGAATTTGGAGTTATACCACATATTAAATATTGCTGTCGAAAATGAGTAACGAACTTAAGTTTTTGTCATCCTGAAAACCGATCCCTCATTTTTTAATTATTTCTGTACGACGAGCTTCGCTATTGCCCTGAAAGTATCTTTTAGTGGAAGAAGGAGAATTTTTCTGTTCATTGAAAGTGTCCAAATTTCTCCATGCACCTTTGTTTGCGAACGCGAGGAAAGTTGATTTTAGCGAATTTCAGGTTAAAGATTAAGGCAGTCTGAGACTTCGACATCGAAAACCGATATTCTAATTTTTCTCACAAATCAAGGGTTTTTGGTAGGAAAATTCTACATTAGGTTTCTTACCTACCTAACAGCTATCTATGAACAAAAAATGAAAGGAATTGATTTTTCAAGTCTTGCCACGAAATTAAGATTTTGGTCGATTTTTCCTGAGCGTCGCTCTTCCCTTAGCCTTCCCTTAGCCCTGAAATTCAGAATGCCTCTAGTGCTGCTTTGTTTAACTCTAAACTTAAGTCTCTTTTTTCTTGGTATAAGCACGCTTTAGCTCTCCTAATGCTTGTGTGTAGTTTTTCGCTTCTTTCGCTTTTTTTTCTCATTTATTCTTGCATTATTTTGTCTTACTTTTCGTTCTCGTTTTTGCACTTACACGTTCAGCCGTTTGTATTTTTATCGAATTTAATGATCATTTTCTATGTTCCAAACAAATTGTGTACTTAGAGTTCAATTTCCGATGTCATTATTGTAATTATTAATTAGATGACATAATTTTAAAAGGTGGTCCTATACACAAGCTTTATTGGCTTCCTTGGGCTCCCTTGCCTCATCTTTTTTGTAGAATTTAAAATGTATATTTTGTGTTTTTTGGCAAAATGATAATAAAACAATAAAACAAATCCCCTTGCTTGAATCTTTAAGGTAATGGTAAATACGCTCACTTGTATGTTAGTAGGGGTTTGAGAAACGTTGCCAGCTGGGTCAGATTGCCTTTTAAGGTTTCATTTCAGCATATTTCACCCAACTTTTAAGTATTTCTTACGTAAGTAACGCATATATTAACTCTGGCACACTTTTTCTACAGAAATCATCATTAACTGTATTCGCGAGAAAGCCCCTGAGACATTATCACAACCAGATGACATCACAGCAATAACACTACTATTTAATGCTCCTTGCTTTCATTCTACAAAAGAGTCTGTAAATTATTGTACTTAAATCACTTTCTTTCTTTATCTAGTTCGGTGTCGACATCGTCCTCTGTATCAACATCATCAAGTGTTTCGACACCAACCACAACAAGTGTGTCAACATCGTCCTCTGTGTCCACTTCATCAAGTGTATCAACTTCAAGCTCGGTGTCGACATCATCAAGTCTCTCAACTTCTTCTTCTGTGTCCACATCATCAAGTACATCGACCTCAAGCTCTGTGTCCACATCCTCGTCAGTATCAACATCATCAAGTGTGTCAACACCAACTACCACAAGTGTCTCAACTTCCACGTCTTCGTCGACGTCTTCAAGTGTGTCAACTTCAAGTTCTGTGTCAACATCATCCTCCATATCAACTTCATCTAGTGTTTCTACATCATCAAGTGTTTCAACATCAAGCTCTGTCTCCACATCTTCCTCAGTATCAACATCATCGAGTGTCTCGACACCAACCACCACAAGTATCTCAACTTCGTCGTCTGTTTCGACGTCGTCGAGTGTGTCGACTTCAAGTTCTGTCTCCACATCGTCCTCGATATCAACGTCATCAAGTGTTGCAACACCAACCACAACTAGCATTTCGACATCGTCGTCTGTTTCCACATCGTCAAGTGTGTCCACTTCGAGCTCGGTGTCCTCATCGTCAAGCGTCTCAACTTCTTCTTCTGTGTCCACATCATCAAGTACATCGACCTCAAGCTCTGTGTCCACATCCTCGTCAGTATCAACATCATCAACTGTGTCAACACCAACTACCACAAGTGTCTCAACTTCCACTTCTTCGTCGACGTCTTCAAGTGTGTCAACTTCAAGTTCTGTGTCAACCTCATCCTCCATTTCAACTTCATCGAGTGTTTCTACATCATCAAGTGTTTCAACATCAAGCTCTGTCTCCACATCTTCCTCAGTAACAACATCATCGAGTGTCTCGACACCAACCACCACAAGTATCTCAACTTCGTCGTCTGTTTCGACGTCGTCGAGTTTGTCGACTTCAAGTTCTGTCTCCACATCGTCCTCGATATCAACGTCATCAAGTGTTTCAACACCAACCACAACTAGCATTTCGACATCGTCGTCTGTTTCGACATCATCAAGTGTGTCCACTTCGAGCTCGGTGTCCTCATCGTCAAGTGTCTCGACTTCTTCTTCTGTGTCCACATCATCAAGTACATCGACCTCAAGCTCTGTGTCCACATCCTCGTCAGTATCAACATCATCAAGTGTGTCAACACCAACAACCACAAGTGTCTCAACTTCCACGTCTTCGTCGACGTCTTCAAGTGTGTCAACTTCAAGTTCTGTGTCAACATCATCCTCCATATCAACTTCATCGAGTGTTTCTACATCATCAAGTGTTTCAACATCAAGTTCTGCCTCCACATCTTCCTCAGTGTCAACATCATCGAGTGTCTCGACACCAACCACCACAAGTATCTCAACTTCGTCGTCTGTTTCGACGTCGTCGAGTGTGTCAACTTCAAGTTCTGTCTCCACATCGTCCTCGATATCAACGTCATCAAGTGTTTCAACACCAACCACAACTAGCATTTCGACAACGTCGTCTGTTTCGACATCATCAAGTGTGTCCACTTCGAGCTCGGTGTCCTCATCGTCAAGTGTCTCAACTTCTTCTTCTGTGTCCACATCATTAAGTACATCGACCTCAAGCTCTGTGTCCACATCCTCGTCAGTATCAACATCATCAAGTGTGTCAACACCAACTACCACAAGTGTCTCAACTTCCACTTCTTCGTCGACGTCTTCAAGTGTGTCAACTTCAAGTTCTGTGTCAACATCATCCTCCATATCAACTTCATCTAGTGTTTCTACATCATCAAGTGTTTCAACATCAAGTTCTGTCTCCACATCTTCCTCAGTATCAACATCATCGAGTGTCTCGACACCAACCACCACAAGTATCTCAACTTCGTCGTCTGTTTCGACGTCGTCGAGTGTGTCGACTTCAAGTTCTGTCTCCACATCGTCCTCGATATCAACGTCATCAAGTGTTTCAACACCAACCACAACTAGCATTTCGACATCGTCGTCTGTTTCGACATCGTCAAGTGTGTCCACTTCGAGCTCGGTGTCCTCATCGTCAAGCGTCTCAACTTCTTCTTCTGTGTCCACATCATTAAGTACATCGACCTCAAGCTCTGTGTCCACATCCTCGTCAGTATCAACATCATCAAGTGTGTCAACACCAACTACCACAAGTGTCTCAACTTCCACGTCTTCGTCGACGTCTTCAAGTGTGTCAACTTCAAGTTCTGTGTCAACATCATCCTCCATATCAACTTCATCGAGTGTTTCTACATCATCAAGTGTTTCAACATCAAGTTCTGTCTCCACATCTTCCTCAGTAACAACATCATCGAGTGTCTCGACACCAACCACCACAAGTATCTCAACTTCGTCGTCTGTTTCGACGTCCTCGAGTGTGTCGACTTCAAGTTCTGTCTCCACATCGTCCTCGATATCAACGTCATCAAGTGTTTCAACACCAACCACAACTAGCATTTCGACATCGTCGTCTGTTTCGACATCATCAAGTGTGTCCACTTCGAGCTCGGTGTCCTCATCGTCAAGTGTCTCGACTTCTTCTTCTGTGTCCACATCATCAAGTACATCGACCTCAAGCTCTGTGTCCACATCCTCGTCAGTATCAACATCATCAAGTGTGTCAACACCAACAACCACAAGTGTCTCAACTTCCACGTCTTCGTCGACGTCTTCAAGTGTGTCAACTTCAAGTTCTGTGTCAACATCATCCTCCATATCAACTTCATCGAGTGTTTCTACATCATCAAGTGTTTCAACATCAAGTTCTGCCTCCACATCTTCCTCAGTATCAACATCATCGAGTGTCTCGACACCAACCACCACAAGTATCTCAACTTCGTCGTCTGTTTCGACGTCGTCGAGTGTGTCAACTTCAAGTTCTGTCTCCACATCGTCCTCGATATCAACGTCATCAAGTGTTTCAACACCAACCACAACTAGCATTTCGACAACGTCGTCTGTTTCGACATCATCAAGTGTGTCCACTTCGAGCTCGGTGTCCTCATCGTCAAGTGTCTCAACTTCTTCTTCTGTGTCCACATCATTAAGTACATCGACCTCAAGCTCTGTGTCCACATCCTCGTCAGTATCAACATCATCAAGTGTGTCAACACCAACTACCACAAGTGTCTCAACTTCCACTTCTTCGTCGACGTCTTCAAGTGTGTCAACTTCAAGTTCTGTGTCAACATCATCCTCCATATCAACTTCATCGAGTGTTTCTACATCATCAAGTGTTTCAACATCAAGTTCTGCCTCCACATCTTCCTCAGTATCAACATCATCGAGTGTCTCGACACCAACCACCACAAGTATCTCAACTTCGTCGTCTGTTTCGACGTCGTCGAGTGTGTCGACTTCAAGTTCTGTCTCCACATCGTCCTCGATATCAACGTCATCAAGTGTTTCAACACCAACCACAACTAGCATTTCGACATCGTCGTCTGTTTCGACATCATCAAGTGTGTCCACTTCGAGCTCGGTGTCCTCATCGTCAAGTGTCTCGACTTCTTCTTCTGTGTCCACATCATCAAGTACATCGACCTCAAGCTCTGTGTCCACATCCTCGTCAGTATCAACATCATCAAGTGTGTCAACACCAACTACCACAAGTGTCTCAACTTCCACGTCTTCGTCGACGTCTTCAAGTGTGTCAACTTCAAGTTCTGTGTCAACATCATCCTCCATATCAACTTCATCGAGTGTTTCTACATCATCAAGTGTTTCAACATCAAGTTCTGCCTCCACATCTTCCTCAGTATCAACATCATCGAGTGTCTCGACACCAACCACCACAAGTATCTCAACTTCGTCGTCTGTTTCGACGTCGTCGAGTGTGTCAACTTCAAGTTCTGTCTCCACATCGTCCTCGATATCAACGTCATCAAGTGTTTCAACACCAACCACAACTAGCATTTCGACATCGTCGTCTGTTTCGACATCATCAAGTGTGTCCACTTCGAGCTCGGTGTCCTCATCGTCAAGTGTCTCAACTTCTTCTTCTGTGTCCACATCATCAAGTACATCGACCTCAAGCTCTTTGTCCACATCCTCGTCAGTATCAACATCATCAAGTGTGTCAACACCAACTACCACAAGTGTCTCAACTTCCACTTCTTCGTCGACGTCTTCAAGTGTGTCAACTTCAAGTTCTGTGTCAACATCATCCTCCATATCAACTTCATCGAGTGTTTCTACATCATCAAGTGTTTCAACATCAAGTTCTACCTCCACATCTTCCTCAGTATCAACATCATCAAGTGTCTCGACACCAACCACCACAAGTATCTCAACTTCGTCGTCTGTTTCGACGTCGTCGAGTGTGTCGACTTCAAGTTCTGTCTCCACATCGTCCTCGATATCAACGTCATCAAGTGTTTCAACACCAACCACAACTAGCATTTCGACATCATCAAGTGTGTCCACTTCGAGCTCGGTGTCCTCATCGTCAAGCGCCTCAACTTCTTCTTCTGTGTCCACATCATCAAGTACATCGACCTCAAGCTCTGTGTCCACATCCTCGTCAGTATCAACATCATCAAGTGTGTCAACACCAACTACCACAAGTGTCTCAACTTCCACTTCTTCGTCGACGTCTTCAAGTGTGTCAACTTCAAGTTCTGTGTCAACCTCATCCTCCATTTCAACTTCATCGAGTGTTTCTACATCATCAAGTGTTTCAACATCAAGTTCTGTCTCCACATCTTCCTCAGTATCAACATCATCGAGTGTCTCGACACCAACCACCACAAGTATCTCAACTTCGTCGTCTGTTTCGACGTCGTCGAGTGTGTCGACTTCAAGTTCTGTCTCCACATCGTCCTCGATATCAACGTCATTAAGTGTTTCAACACCAACCACAACTAGCATTTCGACATCGTCGTCTGTTTCGACATCATCAAGTGTGTCCACTTCGAGCTCGGTGTCCTCATCGTCAAGTGTCTCAACTTCTTCTTCTGTGTCCACATCATCAAGTACATTGACCTCAAGCTCTGTGTCCACATCCTCGTCAGTAGCAACATCATCCAGTGTGTCAACACCAACAACAACGAGTGTTTCAACGTCATCTTCTGTGTCAACATCATCAAGTGTATCCACTTCAAGCACGGTGTCCACGTCATCATCCATATTGACGTCCTCGAGTGTTTCGACACCAACCACAACAAGTGTTTCAACATCGTCGTCTGTGTCAACATCATCAAGTGTGTCCACTTCAAGCTCTTTGTCTACGTCATCAAGTGTGTCCACGTCTTCCTCGGCATCGACGTCATCGAGTGTTTCGACACCAACCACAACGAGTTCATCAACATCGTCGTCTGTGTCGACTTCATCAAGTGTGTCCACATCAAGCTCGGCGTCCACATCGTTATCTGTGTCGGTAACGAGTATTTCGACAAGGTAAGAATTATAACCTCCTCTAAGTTTCTGCTTCGTAAAGGGAGTCTAAAGACAAAAGGAGGCATTAAGACCACGACAACACATAAACTTCAAACTGAGACAGAAATCTCAAACGCATACCCTACGTACAAGTATAGCTCAGAAGTGATTATAACTTTTGCATTCCCTATTACCAGGTGGGGAACTATGTGGTAATATGGTAATATGTATGTAGTAAGGTAACAATAGTACTGTTAATAGTCAATTATGATAAGTTAAAAATAATGATGTGGTAATGTAACAATTTTTCTTTTTAATCTCACTATCAATCTATCGATAACCATAATCGTTTAATCATAAATATTTTATATCTAAGTGTTCAATTGTCAAAACGATATCTATATTTGTAAAAAAAAAAAAAAAACTCCTAATCGTCTTGCTTTTCATTGAAACCAGTCATAAGTTTAAAATACAGTGGTAATAAGGTTTTTAAACCTCCTGATACCAGCACAATCAATGTCAGACGTAAAGGTAAAGGTCCTTAATTTACGCCGGTAACCTGTTCCACTGCTTAAGATACCGACAGTGCGCTCATTTTACCCTGATCCCTAGCCCACTCTCTCGACTTTATTTATTTTTTCATTGATTGATTGATCAGATTACCACTAAAAGTGTCAGGGCAGCCCGGATAGAAAGAGGTGGGGCTTATTACATTCAGGCTACCCATTTACAAACAAAATTCAGAGTTATTTAAGTATACCTAAATGACAAAAGTAAACTAAGTATAAGTAATAAGGTTAGGAGGTATAATTATCAATCAACGATATCAAATTAATTTAGGGTGTCTAATTATTGATTCAAATTAATAGTTCAAAGAAAAAAAAACTTCTCTCTTCATCAGTGCTTCGTTTTGCGAGTATTTAAAGCTACACGGAAAAGACAGGTAGTCAAAAAGTTGCGCCTTGAATTACAACTGTACCAAAACAACCACAGTAAGATCCCCTACACCCAGTATCAACTACGCCAGAATCAATGACATCGAGAAATGTAGATTATATGTGAGTTTGAAAATATCGGACAATAGCCTTACTCGATATTTAATTTAGGATCACCTGTCTTTTAGCTAGTGCAGTTCCAGTTCACTGTCGGTATTGTCCTCTGTGTCGACATTATCAAGTGTGTCCACTTTGATTTCTGTATCAACAATGCAACTTCCTTTTTAATTTAATACTTGGTGTGGCTCTGCTTCAAGTCCTGCAAGTCTCGTGTTGACAGCAATGCGTGCTGGTTTGCCGTGCTACACAGCAGTTGAACGTCTTGGTTTTAAATGTGGTGTCCTGTTGAGGTAAAATCAAATTCGATCAACTCAGTTTGGCACGGCTCATAAGCACGACGAATGGAATGAGCCAAACGACAAACTTTAAAAACAATTAAGGTTCACCTTTTACTTCTGTGAAAACCATGGCGAGAGACGCTAGTCTACATTCTTGACATTTCACATCAACAGACACATCGTCATCTGTGTCGACAAGGAGTATTTTTACTAGGTAGGAGTTATAATGTTCTCTAAGCTCCTGCTTCGTTTATTGCTTTGAAAGACAAAAGGAGGCATTAGGACCACAACAACACATAAACTTCAGACAGTGACAGAAATCTCAAACGCAACGATCGTGTCCACTAGGTAATTAAGAAGATATTTTAAAATGTCAAGTGTGTCGACCTCGATGCCGGTGTCAACACCACCAACAACATCATCAATTGCACCTCCAATTAGGTAGTGGCCCTCATACTTTTTGGTTCTAATATCCACTAGTTTCTCAACACACCACTTCAGACCGGATTTTTATTAAGTGACTTTCTTGAAATATCTTTAAAACTAGAGATTTATGTCATTGTCGGAAATCCGTTTAAAATTACTATTTTTGTTCCAGAAATACCTTATTTGAATAACTGTTTGATGATAAATCACAATTGAAGCTATGAAATTACTGCATTAAACCTGTCCATTATTACGACTTCCCGACCACTTTTTCAATTTTTATGATACTTACAGTTAATAATTTTCTTTGCTAACTCGAAACACTGTTTTTCTCAGTATCTCGCTATCCGAAACCTTGCCACCTCAGACGCTAACAGAATTGTCAACAGTGTTCACATCACGGGCAACATCCTTAGAGACTGTTATATCAATTTCCTTGACACGTACCAGGTGAGATAATGCGTAGATACTTTACCTTGCAACGGTGTATTTTATTGTAATTGTTAACTCTCGCAAAGTGAGGGCCGTAATGTCCGAGGAGAGAGTTTGTAACTTTGTTGTGCGCGCGGGGCGCTGATCGCGTGCGGATCATAGCGGCCTGCATACTCGGATGGGCCATTTACATTTGTATATGCATGTATCCGATCATCATTTCAAGGTTCTTCTGCAGGTTGCTTTAAAGGAGCCTGAGCAAAGTTGGGGTTTGTTACAATAAAGTCATGATAAAATTACAGTCAAGCCAGGTCAAACGTATCCTCCAAGATTCCATTAATGAAGTTGTTATTCGAAAGTTGAATCCTTGGATAGTTGTAGAATCCAGAATCATTTCTTCGTTGCTGCATGCGTAACGCGTAACGAGCAGGCAAGATAGTCATGAAATTGCTACGTGCTCAGTTTTCCTGAATTTGATGTAAATGTCATTGACGCTATTTTGTCCATTTGTCCAGTCAAAGATATCTCAATCTGATAGAATACAAAGAAGCTGTCGTAAAAAATTCATTGCTCGTTATGCATGCAGGAATGCAGACTTAAATAGATATTCAAACCAGAGATTCGGATTCGGATTCGGCACAGAGGCTTAGGGGAAATAAAGCAAAAGAAATCTTTTCGAGGCTCATCAATGAATAATTCTCATGTTTTGTTATATTCCCAACAAATTTGTCCCAAGATTTTTTTCTTCAGGATCGTCGCTTGACTGTAAATCTCAAACCGTCCGCCCGTATCGTTAGTTGTGGTATACAGGTTTCTCTATAGGACCTCAAGGAAACTCACTACACTGTGTGTAAAGGAAAATATAAAACAGTGTGCTATTAAGGACGAAAAAAGGAAAAGATGCCGTTGTCTTTCGCTCAGTTGTATAGCTCCTGGCGGCAGTGCGGGGAGGTCGCATAATAATACCTGATGAATGAAGCTAATGCTTTTTTCTCTGCAAAAGCTTGACCTCAGCTTAGCTTTGATGACCCGGTAAAATGGCGGTTCTAAAAATATAGTTTTTGATTAGCCCTAGAGCCCTAGGTGCGTTGACGTTTTAATTATGTGGCCTTTTTTTTTTTTCGTTTTCTTAACCTAACTTTAAATCTGGAGACATGTAGCCTGCGTAGCAAGCCTTTCTGTGCGGTTTAGGAGCAAAGAACGAGGAACAAGAGTCAAAGACCGCGCGAAAAATAGAGCAAGTAAAAGAGCGGGGAGGGGGTGGGGTAGAAAGGAAGGAAACGCTTGCAGACAAACCCCTCGATTTTGAAAACCACCCACTTGGCCTGTCATGCCTGAGTTCACGCATCGACATTTGATGCTGTCATCAGCTGTCATAATTGGCCAATAAAATGTTTGTCTTTCCGTGGAGCGGAAATGAACTTTAAAGGCGCGTGTGTGAAACCAAAATATATAATTTTTTGTATTTCGGAACGCTGGACGGCGTTAATGGTGAAATCTCAATGAATCCGAACGATCAATGCAGGTCAAAGCTCAGCTAGACAGAACGGCTTACCGTTCTCGCCACGGCACAGACAACTAGAGTGCTCTTGTAAAAGCATCTAAGAACAAAGCTAACCCGGCAACTGATGAAGTTAGCGTGAAGAACCAATCAAATACATTGTCACACCAAGAAGAAATCGTAATGCAAATAGAGGAGGAAACAGTCTGTTTAGGATTACCTGAACACAGCACTGTAGAGCAGGAGGCCTCCAAGATCTACAGATCTTGACTCCTGACGAAAGTCGAATTCAATGATTGTTTTCTTTTTCGTCCATTTCGTTCGAAAGATTTTTAAGTACTTAACTACCTTACTCCTTCGGAGACTTCCTTCAAACCATGTTCTTGTTTCTCGCCTTATTTCAGAAAATAAACAGTTGTTTATTCCTTACAGATGCCCCTCAAAAAGTAGATGACAACCATCAAGCAGCATTGTTTGCGTATTCCTGCCTTTGTTTCGATTAGGTTTAGTCAGTAATTGAGTTATTTAGTCTTCGCCGAGAACTCTTTCACCATTGGCTTGCGTATAATCATGCAAAACTACTAGTCTGCCGCGCCGCTTCTTTGTAACGCGGTTACGATGGTAGATTGTTGGCAATATACCACCGTATAGACTTAATATCCCTGACAGCTTTCAAATTTGGTCCGCGCCAGCTAGTTATGAAGAATTAGCCACGAAACTAGGGAGCTTAAGTAAAAACGACGGCGACGGCTACAAAACCGTCGCTTAAAAAAGGAATTCGCACCGCTTCAAACTTTATCGCACTTATTCCATCTCGTTTACTTCATCAAATATTGGCAAATGTTTTTGGAGTTGAATTCTAAAGGGCTGTATCAAAGTTCAGGAAAAGAAAAGAAAATTGTTGTCTTGTGTTCCCGTCCTCGACAAAACGTGAATTTAGGCATTTTCACGTTGTAGTCGGGCAACGACGGCAAAGAAATGTACAAAAGAAGCGTGATGCACGTGCAAAGTTGTTGTTTTGCTAATCAAATCTATTGCTTTTTGCCGTTCTCGTTGCCGTCCGCGTCGCCGTTGCTTAAGCTCCCTATTATAACCACTCAGAAACGGTGAAATATTTTAAACGAATAATCATATATTTTCTGTGTAAAATAGAAATGAACTAATCTCGAGTTGCTGAAAATCAAGGAAATTTCTACCAAAAACTGTCCTGATTTGGTTATTAGATTTGGTCGCTGATTTGATATGACTTTTGTAAATATCACTTATTAAGCGGTATGACGCACTACACGCCAAGCGCCACGCCTAGTATTTATTGTTCTGTTTTCTCTATTTCTTTGATTGTAACCGTTACTTTTGGCAAGAAGCATGAAACTCTGAGTGCCAATAAATAATCAAGATCTAACCTAGTTCAATCAGTCCATTGTATTTACTATGTATGTATTTTTTGTTAAATTTTGACTGTAATGACGTGTCTTTCCTTAATTTATATATTTATAGTTTTTATGCGCGAGTTAGTGACAGATTACAATTGACTGTCAATAGCCCATGAGGCCGAAGGCCGAATGGGCTATCGACTCGGTGGCCATGAGGGCGAGAGGAATAATTGCGTTAGTAAAATCCAACTGGTTGGTCAAAAATATCCAGACAAAACAACTTTAGCTAGTTGAAGCTAGACTTTAATCATGTTTTGCCCGCCAAATTGCCGGCGCTTTTCGATACTAATGGGCTATAACATATAACCTAGTAGTAGCTCAACCAATCAGAACACAGAATTGATAATAGACCACCAGTTGGATTTTACTAATTAGGGATAGAAGCTTCGCCCCAACAAGCGTGTCGACGTCTAGTTCGGTATCAACGTCATCGATTGTGTCCACAACAACTACGTTAAGTCTGTCCTCTTCAAGGTACTTAACCCAAACGTTTAAGTATGTCTTGATTTTGTTAAATATTCTAGCAAAGCTTACTAATCGAAAAAAACTTGGTTAATTTAAAAGGGTTGTTAGAACAAACTATTAAGTAGTAATAAAGAAAATTAATAAATAACAACACTGTGCTCAAGTAAGTTACACTTGTGACAATTTTTAACAAACGAAAACTAAAAAAAGACTTTTCATCTTCGTTTAGCTCGAAATCTACATCATCAAGTGTGTCAACACCAACCACAACAAGTGTCTCAACTTCGTCGTCTGTGTCGACATCATCCAGTGTTTCGACTTCAAGCTCAGTGTCGACGTCGTCTTCAATATCGACATCATCTAGTGTGTCGACCTCAAGTTCTGTGTCCACGTCGTCGATTGTATCGACGACAAGCTCCGTATCAACGTCAAGTTCTATAAGGTAATAATGATAACGCTTTTGGGGTTGAATTATGAATTGCGTTTTTTTAACAAACTAAATACTCAACGGAATCACAATATCTATAAACAAATCAATATCAGATTACCATCATTTTTCCTAACAAAGTGACTGTGGAATGGTAAATTCAAATGTAAGCTTTTACAATCATAATGCCTTTGTAAGTACTTATTTAATTCGATGTCAAACAAAATAATTATTTTAAAGACGTTGTTTTGTTCAAGTCGAAAAATTGTTTTTTTAGGACCACAACAGCTCATAAACTTCAGACGGAAACAGAAATCTCAAAAGTGTACACAACATTATCACAAAGCTCAGAAATTATTATAACCCTGTCTTTTCCAACAACTAGGTGAGAAGGGGTTTAACTATGTTAATCTGTAATTGTTTATCATAAATTAAAAATCTTTAATGGTGATGTTGCAAATTACTGTAACTATTTATCATAAATTAAAATCTTAACAATTTTTTGTAACAATTAATTCGTAATTATTCTCTACTTATTACCAATAATCACAACTAATCACTTTTTTCAACGCATAATTTTAAGGTATTAGTATTCTTGGCTGTAACTGGTAATCACAACTTGACCATTTTAAGCGTTTAATGGTGTTTTGCTTAACGCAGCTTGAACAAAGTTAGAGTCTCTTTAAAAATCGACCTTTCCACGGTTTTTCAAAGTTTTAATAAAGACCAGAATGCGAATATCCATTGACACTGGTGGAAAACTGCCTACCCCCCCTCCCCTAAGCGAACATTTACGCTTACTTCTCACTTAGGGCAAAATGTTGGCTTAGAGGAGGGGTAGGTGGGCAGTTTCTCAGAAACGTATAATGATCCGAGTTAGTGAACTAATCAGGTTTAAGGGGGGGAATCGAATTCTCCTTTGTTGCCCCTATTCATTTCCTACAGAAGTAGTGGGGAGAAGTTGATAAAATATCAGGTAAATTCATCTTGTGTGATCATGTCCGTAATTCTCATGATTACTCTGTTTTACAAAGCATTGATATTACAAAAAGAAATTTGATGCTGATCACTCTTAAGGCTTAAAGGGTTAACCTCCACTTAAGGTTAAGGTTATAAATATCTGCAATAGTTATGCCTGTTACTTCAGTCATACACCATAAAAGTCTCTACAAATAAATAATGATTATGAGATCCTCTAATGTAATGTGTCCACTTATAGTTCGGTTACAACATCATCGTCTGTGTCCTCGTCGAGTGTGTCAACGCCGACCACAACGAGTGTTTCAACATCTTCGTCTGTGTCAACGTCATCTAGTATCTCAACCTCAAGCTCTGTATCCACTTCATCCTCCGTATCGACATCATCGAGTGTCTCAACACCAACAACGACGAGTGTTTCGACATCATCCTCTGTGTCGACTTCATCCAGTGTGTCAACGCCAACCACAACGAGTGTCTCAACGTCGTCGTCTGTGTCGACATCATCAAGTGTGTCCACATCAAGCTCTGTGTCAACATCGTCGTCTGTATCGACGTCATCAAGTGTTTCCACAACAAGCTCTGTGTCGACTTCATCCTCCATATCAACCTCATCGAGTGTTTCTACGTCATCAAGTGTTTCAACATCAAGTTCTGTCTCCACATCTTCCTCAGTATCAACATCATCGACTGTTTCAACACCGACCACGACAAGTATTTCAACTTCGTCGTCCTTTTCGACGTCCTCGAGTGTGTCGACTTCAAGTTCTGTCTCCACATCGTCATCGATATCAACGTCATCAAGTGTTTCAACACCAACCACAACTAGCATTTCAACATCGTCGTCTGTTTCGACATCATCAAGTGTGTCCACTTCGAGCTCAGTGTCGTCATCGTCTTCTGCATCAACATCCTCTAGTGTTTCCACACCAACCACAACAAGCGTGTCAACATCGTCCTCTGTGTCGACGTCATCAAGTGTGTCAACTTCAAGCTCGCTGTCGACATCATCAAGTGTCTCAACTTCTTCTTCTGTGTCCACATCATCAAGTACATCGACCTCAAGCTCTGTGTCCACTTCTTCATCGGTGTCAACATCATCGAGTGTGTCAACACCAACTACCACAAGTGTCTCAACTTCGTCGTCTTTGTCGACGTCTTCAAGCGTATCAACTTCAAGTTCTGTGTCGACATCATCCTCCATATCAACTTCATCGAGTGTTTCTACATCATCAAGTGTTTCAACATCAAGTTCTGTCTCCACATCTTCCTCAGTATCAACATCATCAAGTGTTTCGACACCAACGACAACAAGTATCTCGACTTCGTCGTCTATTTCGACGTCTTCGAGTGTGTCGACTTCAAGTTCTGTCTCCACATCGTCCTCGATATCAACGTCATCAAGTGTTTCAACACCAACCACAACTAGCATTTCAACATCGTCGTCTGTTTCGACATCATCAAGTGTGTCCACTTCGAGCTCAGTGTCGTCATCGTCCTCTACATCAACATCCTCCAGTGTTTCCACACCAACCACAACAAGCGTGTCAACATCGTCCTCTGTGTCGACGTCATCAAGTGTGTCAACTTCAAGCTCGCTGTCGACATCATCAAGTGTCTCAACTTCTTCTTCTGTGTCCACATCATCAAGTACATCGACCTCAAGCTCTGTGTCCACTTCTTCATCGGTGTCAACATCATCGAGTGTGTCAACACCAACTACCACAAGTGTCTCAACTTCGTCGTCTTTGTCGACGTCTTCAAGCGTATCAACTTCAAGTTCTGTGTCGACATCATCCTCCATATCAACTTCATCGAGTGTTTCTACATCATCAAGTGTTTCAACATCAAGTTCTGTCTCCACATCTTCCTCAATATCAACATCATCAAGTGTTTCGACACCAACCACCACAAGTATCTCGACTTCGTCGTCTGTTTCGACGTCGTCGAGTGTGTCGACTTCAAGTTCTGTCTCCACATCGTCCTCGATATCAACGTCATCAAGTGTTTCAACACCAACCACAACTAGCATTTCGACATCGTCGTCTGTTTCGACATCATCAAGTGTGTCCACTTCGAGCTCAGTGTCGTCATCGTCCTCTACATCAACATCCTCTAGTGTTTCCACACCAACCACAACAAGCGTGTCAACATCGTCCTCTGTGTCGACGTCATCAAGTGTGTCAACTTCAAGCTCGCTGTCGACATCATCAAGTGTCTCAACTTCTTCTTCTGTGTCCACATCATCAAGTACATTGACCTCAAGCTCTGTGTCCACATCCTCGTCAGTATCAACATCATCGAGTGTGTCAACACCAACTACCACAAGTGTCTCAACTTCGTCGTCTTTGTCGACGTCTTCAAGCGTATCAACTTCAAGTTCTGTGTCGACATCATCCTCTATATCAACTTCATCGAGTGTTTCTACATCATCAAGTGTTTCAACATCAAGTTCTGTCTCCACATCTTCCTCAGTATCAACATCATCGAGTGTTTCAACACCGACCACGACAAGTATTTCAACTTCGTCGTCCGTTTCGACGTCTTCGAGTGTGTCGACTTCAAGTTCTGTCTCCACATCGTCATCGATATCAACGTCATCAAGTGTTTCAACACCAACCACAACTAGCATTTCAACATCGTCGTCTGTTTCGACATCATCAAGTGTGTCCACTTCGAGCTCAGTGTCGTCATCGTCCTCTACATCAACATCCTCTAGTGTTTCCACACCAACCACAACAAGCGTGTCAACATCGTCCTCTGTGTCGACGTCATCAAGTGTGTCAACTTCAAGCTCGCTGTCGACATCATCAAGTGTCTCAACTTCTTCTTCTGTGTCCACATCATCAAGTACATTGACCTCAAGCTCTGTGTCCACATCCTCGTCAGTATCAACATCATCGAGTGTGTCAACACCAACTACCACAAGTGTCTCAACTTCGTCGTCTTTGTCGACGTCTTCAAGCGTATCAACTTCAAGTTCTGTGTCGACATCATCCTCCATATCAACTTCATCGAGTGTTTCTACATCATCAAGTGTTTCAACATCAAGTTCTGTCTCCACATCTTCCTCAGTATCAACATCATCAAGTGTTTCGACACCAACGACAACAAGTATCTCGACTTCGTCGTCTATTTCGACGTCCTCGAGTGTGTCGACTTCAAGTTCTGTCTCCACATCGTCCTCGATATCAACGTCATCAAGTGTTTCAACACCAACCACAACTAGCATTTCGACATCGTCGTCTCTTTCGACATCATCAAGTGTGTCCACTTCGAGCTCGGTGTCCTCATCATCAAGTGTCTCAACTTCTTCTTCTGTGTCCACATCATCAAGTACATCGACCTCAAGCTCTGTGTCCACATCCTCGTCAGTGTCAACATCATCGAGTGTCTCAACACCAACTACCACAAGTCTCTCAACTTCCACGTCTTTGTCGACGTCTTCAAGTGTGTCAACTTCAAGTTCTGTGTCAACATCGTCCTCCATATCAACATCATCAAGTGTTTCTACATCATCAAGTGTTTCAACATCAAGTTCTGTCTCCACATCTTCCTCAGTATCAACATCATCAAGTGTTTCCACACCAACCACAACAAGCGTGTCAACATCGTCCTCTGTGTCGACGTCGTCAAGTGTGTCAACTTCAAGCTCGGTGTCGACATCATCGAGTGTCTCAACTTCTTCGTCTGTGTCCACATCCTCAAGTACATCGACCTCAAGCTCTGTGTCCACTTCTTCATCGGTGTCAACGTCATCGAGTGTGTCAACACCAACTACCACAAGTGTCTCAACTTCGTCGTCTTTGTCGACGTCTTCAAGCGTATCAACTTCAAGTTCTGTGTCGACATCATCCTCCATATCAACTTCATCGAGTGTTTCTACGTCATCGAGTGTTTCAACATCAAGTTCTGTCTCCACATCTTCCTCAGTATCAACATCATCGAGTGTTTCGACACCAACGACAACAAGTATCTCGACTTCGTCGTCTATTTCGACGTCCTCGAGTGTGTCGACTTCAAGTTCTGTCTCCACATCGTCCTCGATATCAACGTCATCAAGTGTCTCAACGCCAACCACAACAAGCATTTCGACATCGTCCTCTGTGTCGACATCAAGTTCTGCTTCGACATCGTCATCAGTATCGACATCATCAAGTGTGTCGACTAGTTTGTCAACTTCTGTTTCGACAAGGTAACAGGAAAATGTTACTTCAAACTAAATACAAACTGTTTGCGTGTTTGATTTGATTCTTTTTCTGGTATTCTTTTTTATATAGGCGGTTATATGTCGTATGTAATAACAAGGCTAACTCTCCTGCTGAGGTTGATTTTTTTAAAAAGCTTCTTTTTCTGTGTTTCCTCTCTCTGCATTTAAGAATCTCATCGCTGGTCAAAAGAAGCAAAATTGAAGGCCCATCATAGCCCTAGAAAGTAAAATACCGCATCAGATCCAGGGGCACAACCCGTTTGACAGTACCTACCCACCGGGGGGGGGGTACTTCCTTATATAAGCCATATAGGTATGTGCCGCCCCAAAAGGTGGGGTTTTGCGCCGTTTTGGTCACAAAACTGGTATAGACTTTGCCCATTTTGGTCTGGAATCGGGTATGGTTTTCGAGGGAACTACGTGAGTGTATTTACGGTTTCAATTGAGTAAGTAAGAACGAGAAATATGCGAATTCGAAATGGATGTTAAGAAATCTTTTTTGATGCTGTGCTAATCTAAATAATTTCTTACAGGCCAGGTATGAAAACGGGCGTGGATTTTTGGGGCAGGTCGGGAAACGGGTGTGAAAAATGACAGGTTTTGGCCTGAAACAGGGTCAGGATTTGGAGGTCCGGGCGGCACACCCACACCAAGATTTCCCAGGACTATCCCCCGGAACGTACTCCTGGATTTTTCGCCGTCATTACCCTCGGACCCTCTACACTTTAATTAGCGTAATGATGGGTTAACGAGATTTGCTAATTCAGGATAATTTTAATACATCTATCTTCGCAAATGTTCAGGTAATAATTATGTACCAAGCTACTGTTGGGATCAGTAATTAACGCATATTTGCTTAATGTTTAGCTCTAGTTCAGTGTCTACATCATCATCTATATCGACGTCGTCAAGTGTCTCGACTTCATCAAGGTAGACGCGAAATGATTGCCTTTTAACCAATGCTAACAAAAATACCTAAATTAATTATTTCATAAGGTAATAATTCACAATACACAGTTAAATATGTTTATAACATATTCAATAAAGGTTGCTTTGGGTATTGGTAATTGCATTTTGGGAATCTTTTGTTTGGCTGTCACTCAAGCAAATCATTACATTGTTTTGATGCGCAATCTCCAATGACTAATTGCTAAAGCAGCCTTTATTTAATTAGGTACATATATAAAGTTTGCCTCTTATGTTGGGACGTTGAGACAAGAGAACAATATGGACTACAAGATTGACAGGGTCAAACAAGAGAAATTTGCAAAAGCTAAACTTTCACTGTTTTTACTTTTTTCACTGTTTTCACTTTTTCATTGTATCGCTGGTTAAAATTAAGTGTATTGCCAATACATGGTCAATTTAACAAACGTCTTTAAACTTGCCTTAAGACGTTGTAAGCTAATTCAGAGAAACTGTAAAAAATTTTTAACATGTCACATATGTATAAAGGGTTAAGTTTTATCGTTTGTCTCACGATTGAGTTCAAAGTTTGAGTTCGTGGAAGCCGTATATCCCTATCGTGCTCCTTAGTCCGTTCATGCATGTCACACGTGATATCCTTGTCCAATTTGAACGTTGTTTTACAGGAAAGAAATTTCAAATTTTGATCTCAAATTATAGTAGTTTAACCCAAATGGAAACAAATTAATGGCGAACATTGCCGCTCATTAAAATGACTGAAAAACCTAAAAAGTGTCCCGGTGACCATATAATTTCCTTGTCCATTTGCAACGTACACGAACAAAGCCCAAATTTCAAAATTTAACGCAAAAGCATAGCCACCGACTTGCCAAATTGGAAAAAATCCGACATGGCCGCCAAACGGAAAAAACCTCCGAAATGGTCAAGGTTCTCTTATGCACGTAATTCAATTGTTTTTAATAACTTTCACGTGGAAAGAAGATTTCCGTCGATAGGCTTGCATTAACGTCTGTTGTACCTTATTGTTTTCTTATAGCGTGTCTACATCAAGTTCTGTCTCGTCCTCAGTGTCAACATCGTCAAGTGCTTCAACTTCATCAAGGTAAAATCCTACCTTACAGGGGTAGGGTTAAAATGCCTTCAGTCTTAGACTTTGTTCACTCGACGTCACTTGCAATGGTCCAGTTTCAAGTACGCTATGACCGCTGAATTAAAGAAGTGAAGACGCAATTTTTACAGGCTTAGCCTCCATCTTCACAAATTCCAACAAGAAGAAGATCTGTTTATTACGCTGTATATTGTGTATAGTCAAATTTCAACACTTACTTGCCGGAATTTCTGAATATTTTACTTTACGTCGAGGCTAACCCTGTATGAATGGGTCGTTAATGTTTGTATTCAGCGGTAATTTTTAATTCGAAACTAGACTATTCATGGCAGAAAAGCTAACACTAACGGAATAAAACTATAACGGACTTAGTATAATAAATTACAACTGCAAAAAGTGCGCACTGAACGGAGATATGTGAAAAAAATAAACGCGAAGTAAGAAAAAGTAAATGAACCACGCTAAAACAAACAGCTTCATAAAAAGTTAATAACGATAAGCACAAACTAGAGAATATCAAAAAAGGTATTAAGCACAAACCGAAGCGAACAAAAGCCGCAAAAGAAAAATAAAGACCAAACTGAAGCCCGAAGGGCCGAAAATTGTTTTTTGGAGAGCACCCCCCCCCCCCCCCCCCCAACCTCTTATCTCAAGGTCTGGCTCCGGCACTGATATTTACCAGGTAATAAATCATTACTATTTGTAGCGCATCGACTTCATCGTCAGCTTCAA